GGGGGGGGGGCGAGGTAGTGGGCTTAATGAGTGATCAGGGGTAGTGGGTTTGATGAGGCTTATGGAGACGGTGGAAGAGGGGAGCAGGGGTGGTGGATAGTGGAGCTCATTGGGTGGTGGGTGTGGGGTACAAGCTAGGGTCTAAGTGTCAAAGGTGGGGCACTGTGGCGGGTGATGATGTACGATAGGAACTGAAACCTGGAGGTCTCTGACGTCTGCAGATACCGTGGTATGTATTAGGGCTGGATCCTGCTTGCCAAATTTGAGAGAGGCGATCGAGATTCAGTCGGCTTCAAAGAGAATCGTGAGTACGCGAGAGCTTGTGGAACTGCGGCAGAACACTGACTGAAACGAAACAGTGTCATATCAACGCCACTTGGCGAGCGCGAGTCCCACTCTTGTTGTTCCCTCATCCTCTCCGCCCCACACCCTTTGTTGCGCTGCTCTATCAACTGACCTCAATTAGTGACCCTCATAATCCCCCAACCCCATGATTCGCTAAAACAATAGCTCCATAAAATTCCTTCCGTCAATTGGTAGGACCCCGTTCATTTTGTTTTATTAGGAGGGTTGGACTATACCATCTTTTGTAAAATGAGGGGGGCCATACTAAGTGTTCCTTTCCGTTCTTGCGCTCGTGACTCACTCAACTCAGCAGTAGGTTAAACAAGCCACAAGGTGGTGAAAGCGACCGGGGAGTGAATCGGGAATCGTTTGGCGATACTGTTCCGCATTCCACTGAAGTGAATCGTGTTCCGCTGAAGTGAATCATGAATCGCGTTCCGCAGGCAAGAGGGGCGATTCAGTTCCGTTCTCGTGCTCGCGACCCAGCCCTAGTATGTATGTGTGAGTTTCTCTGTGTGTGTGCATTTGTGTGCGTGTGTACTTGTTTGTGCACCTGTGTGTATGCGCACGTGTGTGCACTTGTTTGTGCATGTGTGTGTGCGTGTGTATGCATGTGTGTGACACAACCACATCCATGTCAGCAAAGTCTGTGTAGGGACGATGATGGTGAGGGGGAACAAATGACATCAACGATGAAGCACACAGCCGATACACACATAGCTGCCTACCTTTCACACACAATGCCTCAAGATGGTGGGCACTTGATAAGCTACCTCCCCCCCCCCCTCAATAAAAAAAACACAACCCCCTTCACACATTCTTCTTAGTATGCAATAAATTCATGCTTTTTCAATGTATACCTGCAACAATAAAGTCACAAATGTTTGGTAAAGATCTCTCCAATAGACAAAAGGCCTACATTATTGCTATTCAGAAATTCAGTCTTGAAAGTTCACAATTTTTCTTCAGCATCACTACGTATTTTCTGACACAAACGGCTTTCCGTGCGTACTCCCCGAAAAACGTGTATAGCATACATTTAGTAGGTAGCCTACAGGTTCAAGTTGTCGGCTGTGCACACACACACTCCCACCTGCTGGTATGTGAGTACAGTGGAGGTGGTGGTGGTGATATCTTTGATGTACTACCAGACTACCCCCACAGTGTTCCACCAGCAGCTACTACTTACATTATAATCTGACAAACAGAAAAGGATAGGCCACTACTTGTGCAGCAAACTTGCACAATGCGACAACTACAAAGCTTGAAGAAAGGGGTAACAAAAAACAAAACAAAACAAAACCCCCCCCCAAAGGTCCAAAAGTTGGCATGTACACAGACGAGTTGGTGAGTTCCCACAAGTTCTAACAACCATAAAAAAGTCTCAAAGAAAAGAACAAAAGCTAGCCCTGACAAAATGAAACGGGTCAATGAGGAAAGCCCATGTAGTGGCTCACGTACACACACACACAAACACACATACATACAAGTCCAAGGTTTCCGACCCCGAAGGTGGCAACAGTTCAAACACTTCATCCCCCAAGAGGCTCTAAAGTGACATAGGTTAGGCTGTCAGTTTTAGTCTCACTATTAACAACTTTGGTATTCCAATCTTACAGGACATTGCTGCTGCTAAAACCCTAATACAAACCTTAGCACTGTTCAGAAAAAGTACTTTATCCTTTGCAACACAAATTATTTGCAATTTGAGTTTCTCAGAATAATGTAGACTGTACCAATGGCTATTATCTAACAACATGTAAAAAACAAAAAAGTAAAGCTAAGATGCTTATTTGGAGGCCAGTAATTTGAAGTGGGTGCAAAGCTCACAGTAGAGTAGAGGGAAGTTAGAGTCTTGTGACAAGTCATTTTCATCATTCGCCCATTTATAAAAATTCTTTAACTTGGTCCAAGCAGTCCCAGAATTCTTCAGCTTTCTTATTTCACTTTTGTGACAATATGACATACACTGACACCAAAAAATATAAATTAAAAAAAAAAAAAAAGAAAATAAAGTCTACAATGGATCTTTTGAGCTCAAATTTGAAAATTCCTTTTGGGCAGAATAAATATGAGCGCATCTGGAGTAACATGAAAGAAAACAGAGAACCTCTAGTATTCAAAATTGAATATTGGGGAAAGTCAGGCGCTGGGTAGCGGAGGCGAATGCGGTTTTTAAACTCAAAGTAACATACCAGAAATGGCAAGATGTACCTAAAACAGAAAGTATGACAAAAAATAATTCTTTTTCATTGCAGTGGCAACAACAAATTATTGAAAGGGCAATCTTACTTTTCTTTCAGCGTCCAGTTTGGACCTAAACCAGAAAAGTTTGACTTTAAAGCTAATCTCCATTTAATCATTCCAACTGTAACAATAAACATCCTTCCCAATATCTATCAGAAGTGTCTGCGTCTGATATCCTAGGTCTACCCTGTGCAAAGAAGATCGCTGCCTTGTTGACAGGAATACTCTCTTCTGCCAGTTAGTAGAAACCATCCTCATGCAACAAACCCCCGCTTGAGACCAGGAGGTAAACGTGAAAGCAGCTAACAAACCACTCACCCAGTAACTTGGCAACATCACACAGCCAGTGTTGACAATATACCCCAGGCACTTTGCTACACCACATATCCAGTAATCACTATATATTCCCCAGTAACTTTGCAAAATGAAAACCCAAACCAAACTACATGTTACAGAGACATGCTATAAACGGTTGCTATAGCAACAATAACCAGAGTAAGTTTTCCACCACTACTGAGACAAGTAATGTGTTCTTCATTTTACAACAATTTTGCGCATGCCCTTGTAGTGCCTTTTCACCAAGTTCGGCAATCCTAAATAGAAACAAACCCTGTCCTCTGTTGCAAAAAACATTTCTGTACAGCAGGTAAAAGCCATGAGCTTCAGCTATCAACCAACATCCAATGAAGACACTTTAATTCATTCATTACCCATTTTTTTCTCATTCTGGAGAGTTTTTTTCTAGAGCTCTAAATTGCATGTAGAGTGAGTCTAAAAATAGACTTTTGTAGTGCAAAAAAAATAAATAAAGTTAAAAAATATTCTAAACAAAAAACATTAAAAAATGCACAAATGTGTGTAGTATGCATGAGCGACTAAACCCCAATGTAGACGACAGAAGTGGACAAAACCCCTGTCTTTGTGAGGTAAAGAGTACATGCTTTTTCCACTAACAATCAAACAAGGATTAGTCCATCAACATTTCCCCCAAGTCAAACCCTTCCTTCACACCCGTGTGTAGAATTGCCCGGAGAAATTCAAAGTCTGGGCAATAAAATGACATTAGTAAGCTAATGTATTCATCTACTGCAAGATATATATAGAAGCTAGACATACCCCAAATGTGAGGTATCGGATAGGATATATTAGGAGTTGCCGTTATATTAAGAGCAAATGATACCATGAGATCTAAAAACAGTCATTCAGTAAAAATAAAAGAATATGGAAGTAACCTGTAAACAGGGAGGACAGTATTAGATTATTAGAGAGCAGTTAGAGCAACGGAGAGTTGCCGCAGAAGCAGAAAGCTGTAACTATACTGTCGCCAGCAAAAATAAAAAGGCACAGAGATATATAATATATATAGAGAGAAATTGTTATCACAGACAGAAAGGTTACACAGAGTGCAGTACGTACATGATAGCAATTCATAGCAGAGAAGAATTTAGTTCACTTTGATGATACTGTTTTCATCAACACGTTATATAGGGCAAGCAAGAGGCTACATTTTCAAACAGCAAACCGATATAATACTCCTCATGGATAATATGAACCGAAAGCAAGCAATAAGAAACAAGACGCAAAAGATTTTTTTTTTTTTTTTTAAATAAATAAAAATCCCCCTCCCAACAAATAGAAACACGCGTGAACCAGCAGGATCTGACTTCAAACTGAGGACATTCCTCCAGACAGGACCTCTACCAATGTTTCTCCAACGTATCAACCTTTTTTTACTGGCTACATGTTATGGGGAGGGGTGGGGGGTGGGGTGGTGGTGTTGTAGGGGATGTCAGGTGGTCGCCTTTTCCTCATTTCAGACATCCATGGCCACAGCAATCACAAAGGAAGACAATCATGAGGAGGTATAGCACATCCAAAAATTTAAATGCTAATCACCCCCCCACCACAAATCGTTTAAGTGATTTTAACTGGGAAAAGCAAGGTGAAAGACACAAAAATTAGAGACATAGTGCCCAGATTCGAAATTGATGTTTTTGCCTAAAATATACTGTACAAATAAATATCTAAATTTAAAATAAATAAAATCCAATTTGAAGCCCCCC